GTCATTTTATGCTACCCTTATCAGTTTTGGGGAACACATCTAGCTGGAGGCGGTCGGTCACGCATCTGCACCTGGTCATGAGTGGGTACGCCGTTCTACATGGCTCCTGTGACCGTTAGCCAGCTTAGAACAAAATCTTCCAGATATATCTGTAGTCCTTTAAATATGTCTTAGAACTTCTTCACTTCTGAGTTGACTGGTTAGACATACTTCGATAATAAAGATGTAATGTGTGAAAATGTTGTCAAACTCCGAATACCAGTGGCATTTTAACAGTTTGGTGGTCATAGTTATTCTTTTTGAATGTGTATGACCTTCCAGTTTCTGATCATCATCTGCCACTTTACATGTCGGTGATGTAAAGGTATGAAGAGCTAGATGAAGTAAAGATGATAAGTTAGAACTTCTGAATGGCCCCGGGAAATCATCTAAAGGGTCTAGAAATTGGCAGTTGCTGATAAATACTACGGAGTGCATTGTTATGCATATTGGTCACAGTGAATAAGGCTGAGCTACCTGTTGTGCACACGCAAAACGACATAGGAGTCATTATTAATAAGACCTAAAACCTGCTGCACACTGTTGTGCAATAGTTGCCAAAGTTTTTTGAACTATATGATCCATAAGTTGGGCGTTTAGCCATCTTGATGCTACAAACTTTTAGGCTTTATATACAGAGTTTGTTCGTCCTGAACTCGAGTGCTGCATAAAAGCGGCTAACTCCTGACCGAAAAGAGACAGCGAGCTGTTGTAAACGACTCGGAGAACCGCAACTGAATTGACGTCCGGAATAGCGACGCTCCCGTATGATGCTCGATTGGCTAAACTGGACCTATTTTCACTGTCATATAGAAGAACCGGATGAGACTTGATCTTAGTTTTCAAATTTCTTGGTAAAAAATAAGCATCTGATATGCCCTCACATTTACTGTCCTCCGAAAAGGAGAATTTGCGAGGCTATTCTATAAAGGTTGAAAAGTCCTAAACGAACTCCATGGAAGATGACTGTGGAATTTTCCATTGAATCATCAATGAGTGGATTCCGTTACGTCAACACGACTTTAGTTTTCAGTAATGAGGATAGCGGTCTATCGACCTATATTATTCCTAGCAGTTTGTAACACCGTGGAAGTCCAATCTCGTTCTGAACATATCGACAGGTGTGGATATTATTTATTCTGGTAGAGAAATGCAGTAATTTATTACACAGTGCGAGAAACGAAACTCCAGATGTAGGCGATTTGATCTCGGTTTTTGAATTTTCTACGAATGTCCTCTCAAATGATCAGTCCTAGATAGAAGGAAAAAATATGACTTTGTAGTGATCTGTTTTTATCAAGAGAACGCGATTGGTTTAATGGAAACAATTGTTATAGCCAATTATAGCAGTGACTGTTTTACTGTACTTGTTTCTTTAACTGTAATAAAAACATCCACTATTCTTGCATTATCCTTCCGTTGATTGTGACGTTGTACGCTCTTAGGTTCGCCCACTGAGTCTGTAGTGGCATTGGACCATAACCACACAATCTTCAAAGCTGAACACAACACTACTCGGAAAATAGATATTCAATATTTAACACGGAGAAATACCTAACGATGGAAAAGGCGGGAACAATGAATGGAATGAACTGGAGTTGATCGGATGGCATGACTCGGCCATGCAGGCGTGGTCTCTGCTTAATGTTACCTTATATCTTCTATTCATATTAAATATATTGTTCTTTCTCTAGCCTAACCTTGTTCTACATAATGTATTGGTAATTGATACGATACAGTGAGTTGGTGTAGTCGATGGTGTGACTTCCACGTAAGATCTTATAGATTAGGCAGTTATATTATGACGAATCTACAGATTTAGGATTAGGTCTATTATTAGAGCAGTACTAATATCATTGTAGACCATAGTTCTACAAGTCCACTTGTATTTCTTTGGCACGATCTTGGTATTCTTTTGATACCACGAGATCTCCAACGAATATATCTCGTTGCAACCTGCAACCGCCTTCTGATTTCTGGTATGCAACCTCCTTGTATTGGTGTTCATAGTCAAACGCGATTCGATGCCACACTACAACATATTAATACCAAGGTCACTGTTCAGTATCCGGTAAGCCAGCGTGATGTCACCCCCTATTCTACTGTAGGATAGCGAAATTACGTTGAGGTGTCTCAGTCCGCTTCCATAAAGTAGGCCAGATAGACCTTTCGACATTTTAGTCCCTAGTCGTCGGACTCGTACCAGCATATCCTCCCCATACTTAAAACAACGACTATCTACTTGAATCCGATATTCCAAAGGCGTGCTCATAAACGTCGGGTATTATAATCTAAACATTTCTTTATTCAAATAGTGAAAAGACCTGCGAGTAGTCTATAATACCCTTTTGTGACAGCGGCTTTACACTTACTAGTAGTTTAGAGATCGTTGTTTGTTATGACACCTAAGTATTTGTAGTCCATTACTTCGGGTAACACGAACCCACATATTGTGTAGTGATACGAGCCGTCACCGTTATTTAGTTGCATCACCACACTGTTGGTAAGATTTACTTCTAGTGGCCATCCGTCCATCCATGCCACCAATGAGTTGAGATCATCCTGTAATGCTATTTCATCTGACATATTGTGTATGGGTCACCACATCTTTATGTCATTGGTGATGAGTATAACGAGCGACTTCGCTACAGTTGGTAATTCATTGACATAAGATAAAAAAGTAACAGATCCGAGGACTGTGCCATGGGGAACTCCACTTTTTTGCAGGTTTCACAATGAGAGAGCTCCATTTACCCTTACCCTTTATTTCTTGCCATTAAGTAATTCACTTATCCATTCTATGGCTTATAATGGATTCCGAAACTTTCCAGTCTTAATTTAAGACCGGAATGGGAGACCTTAGATCTATGAAAATCACATCTACAGGAATATTTTATCTTTTGATGCAGCTCAATCTTCTCTTGCAATGAGGAGATTAGTCAAACGTGATAGGCCTTCCCGAAAAACTCGTTTGTCCATGGATGAAATGTTATAACCTTCCACATAGTTTATAATAGATATTCGAATAATCTTTTCCATTAGTTTTACGACTGCACTGTTTAAACTAACGAGTCTATAGTTACCAACTACTTCTCTACCCCTAGTCTTATACAGCGAACTAATTATTATGTGTTTTCAGTCTCTGGGCAGTCTGCACTGCCACAGAGATATATCAGATAGCATGGCTATAGGTTGAGCAACTTCATCCGACAGGGCTTTCATAAACCCAGGATGAATATCAATCGAACCACTGAACTTATCAGGTTCGAGATGCTGAAGTAGTCTTAAGACAGCACCCTTCTCAATAACTACAGGGTCCATCAACAAGCTAGCAGAATCACAATTAATCGTTGGTCGTTCCTGATTGCTGGTAGAAAACAGTTTGCTGAAATAATCTGATAACTCTTGAGCTGTATGAGCACCATCTCTTGCCAATATTAACGGATTTTCTTGCACCTTATGTAATTTCACCATTTCTCCGGGTTTGCTTTTTTATATATGCTAAGGTTGAAGCTATCACGAGATCACTTAATCTGCGAACGAGAACAAATAATCAGTGACCAAAGACCATTAAGCTAACTATTTGATGCGTCCCAGCCCCGCTAAATAGAGAGAGAAGTTCAAGCTTGGAATGGGAAGTATATTCTGCAAAACAGCCAGAAACGTGCGATAACAACAAACACAATTCAAAACGTATATATATCAATTATATGTATATAATCGATATTGCCACGGAAGTTTTTTTTAAACATTTAATCGATAATTATATTTTCCTTGAAAAAGCTTGGACCAGGTTGCCAGGCGAAACATTGGATTTACTTCAAATTCGTTCTCTGAGATTTTACAGATACATTCTTCCTATTTAGTCGATAAGCTCGTCAATCGACTATGTGCGTGTGTGGTAAGAAATGCTCAAGCAAACATGTGCATACAAGTTCCATACAGATAAGATTACAAAATATTAGTTTTGAGGATCAATCGTCCCCAACAATATACGAGAATAACTGTTTAGGACTATTTTTACAATCTATAGCCAATTGTTTCTTATTTATTAACGATTTACAAGCATTCCTAGTCTTACAATAACTGGGTCTGTACTGTTTTAAGCCAGTAGAGATGAACATATTTCTGTGCTTTTGCTACATCTAAGAAATTTCTTGACTCGTTTAGTTATCCATGGTAAACTGTTATTCAGTCTACGTGGTACCAGGTATGGTATAAACGAGGACGCAACTGAACTAAGCTTGCCTTTAGATATAGACCATGCTTCTTCAACTGACTAGCTACCATCTACTGATCAATCTGTCTTAGTAGAACACCCCTGAATGGCTGATATGTTAGCACTCCATACATTTAGACGAGGCTTAACATGATCGTGTATCATGTCTCTAGCTCAAAAGGTGAATGACAAAACAACGTGATCACTATTTAATGACGGTGGAGGTATATTTAGGCTGACAATATCTTCAGTCACATGGGTGACTACCATGTCCAATGAATAAGAACCTTGGTTCGCACCAAAACATGTGGGTTATCAGGAATGGAGCACATATTAGTACAGTATGTATCCAAGCCCACACGTTTTCGTGCAAACCAAAGTACTTCTTTGTTGGACATGGTGATCACTCATGTGACTGAAGATATTGCCAACCTAAATATACTTCCATCGTTATTAAATAGTGATCACGCTGTTTTGTCATCCACGTTTAGAACTAGTGACATGAATATCGTCTGCTGACGCTTTCAAAAGAAAGTTGGATCGACCGAGCGAGCACCATTGCTGGGAATCAAACAAGACACCTGGCTTTCTTTCCTTTCGAAAATGAGACAAAACTGAATATTGGACCTCGGTTTCTTTAGCACTTTTGGTTCAGTAAGCCGCTGCGCAAAGTTTGAGTATTCACGAAACATTTGTCCACATATAAGTCAAGCATTTGAGATGCGTCTGTTTGCAGGAAGTTATGGGGAATTGTTTCCAAGGAATGGTTATATCGATGTCTGCAAAGGATAGAGATTTCAATTTTGGACACGGTGAGATAAGCAATAGCGTTGACATTAAAGTCTCACAGCCAATGGGGGATATCAGTCCTTTCCTTTCGTCCAGACCCCTATCCAGCAAAAATAGAGTTTCTGAAACCTCTCAAAACAGTCCGCCTTTGGTTAACTGTGCGAAATCTAAGGCGCAGCCATATCAATCAACGAATCTCACATCAAACGTCGGAATAAGTATTTCTCATCCTTCTGATACACATACTGTAACCACTACGAAGATTAGTGGTAAAAGTGTTAAGCAATTTAAACCCAAACATTTTGTTGCATTATTCGATTACAATGCTCGGACAGAGGAAGAAACATTTCTTTCTAGAAGAGATGAAGTCTTGCTGTTAGCTGACAAGTAAGTTCATTTTTTCATCGTATTACAACTTTATCATTACTCAAAACGTTGCATATCTTAGTTTCCAAGCTTTCGATTCACACCAGGTTTCGATAGTATGACGGAAGTTATTGAACCTTATGGAAGGAACTACAATTTAACATAGGAAATCATTATGATTACTTTCATCGACCCAGCATTTGGTCGGGAAACTAATAGCTTCTGCCTAGACTACTCTTAGTGACTGGGGATGTATAGACGTTGACGGCCTTATTTTCACTTTGTACACGACTCTAAATATTAACGATTTTACACGTATTTTTGTTAGCCTCTACGAGAATCATCTGTAAAAATATTTTTGGCTAAAAATGTTTACCTGCAGATGAGATCTTTTTCGCACTAAATGATAGCAAAAAGGCAAGGATTAGTGCATTAGCGAGATCTTGATTTTTCATGATAAACTGTATTCTTGGTACTACAATCTGTTTCTTTAGTGATCTTGGTGATACTTCCAATTGTTTTTTGTATCTTAGACGCCTTTCACGAACGTCGATATCCTGTCTTACTGGAACATTGTTATTTAGTTGCTTATTCGGACGAATAAAAAATTGGAACAAAGGAGCACGGAGATAGATTTGCACCACATCATTGAATTTGTACTGAGATACTACCCACGTGCCCAAACCGAAGTGGTTATTTTCCCTAGAGAACCACTCTCCGAGAGTTTGACCCGGAGGTCTAATCCACAGTTATTACTTGCTAACTAGACCCAACTTCGCGGTTGATTGCTTCAATCACAGTTGCTTTTCTAAGTGTTTAACTTTTATTACATTGTAGATGTAACCACAAACATTTCGAATCAGAAGTTTAAATATATACTGCATATATATATATATATATATATATATATATATATATATATATATATAGTGGTAATTCGGCTTAGATTGTTAGTTGAATAAGCTGTTAGCATAATATTTGGAGTAAATGACAGTCTGTAAAGTACTAATTTAGCTTGACTGTTCTTTTGAGTATTGGCTTGAGCTCATAACCGTATGACAGCGATCTGTTAGTAGGAACGTTTTCTATTTATTTATTTATTTGAACACATAAATATTGGTACGAGAGAGCGCCAATATATATGCGCCACACAAAACAATGAGAATTCGAAGAAAAGTAGAAAGAAAAAAAAATTAAGGAACGCAAAAGAAAAAGAGAACAATGACGAAGAGATTGGAGTAAGGTAGTGTGGTAGTAACGACGGAACGAAAAGGTACGATCAGAAATCTTTCAGGTAAAGGAGACAGAACCACTTCTTATGAAGAAAGTAAAAGAAGGTTACAGCATGATCGCCACTGGCTTCTATTCTGAGCCATATCTGATAACGTCTCTAGCCACTGTGTAGCACCATCTCTCGGACCCCAGCCAGGGAGTCGTGAAGGACCAACACAAGCCAGTCCTTTGCAGCTTTCTTTCATGCCACGACACCATGTCATGCACTGACCACCTCTCCGCTTCTTCCAACCAGTCCCAGAGTCGGCAAATAATGCACGACGTGGAATTCTCTGGGACGACATTCGGAGAACATGTCCAAGCCATCGAAGTCGGTGTTTCAAGATGGTGACACCAATTGAGTTATCATCTCTGTGCCCGAACACACGATGCCGAACCTCTGCATTACTGACATGGTGTTGCCACTGGATGTCAGCAACCCTTCGGAGACAGCGATGATCGAACACAGAGAGTCGTCTAACGTCCTCAACTCGGAGAGGCCAGGTTTCACAAGCATAGAGCAAAACTGCTCTCACCGACGCGTTGTAGATACAACCTTCTACAGCCAGACTAACATCACGAAGGAGCCAAAGATGGCCCAGATTGGCATAAGCCGCTCTGGCTTTCACTATACGTGCATTGATCTCATCACTCACACCCCCACCAGCACTTATACAGCTACCCAGACACACGAACTTCTCAACTACGTCTATCTGCTCACCACCCAAGGTGAGTACAGGACTAGAATCCTGCCAGTCTTGTAGAAGCACTTTGCACTTTGAAGGTGCAAAGCACATACCATACCTACGGACACTGATTGCCAACTGATTAAGTGCGGATTGCATACCTTGGGCATTATCGCACAGTAAGACATTATCATCCGCATACTCAAGGTCGAGAAATCTTTCTCCAGGCAACAGATCCACACCACCATTACTTACATTCATCAGGGCTGTTTCCAGAATGTCATCGATGGCAAAGTTGAAGAGGAATGGTGAGATTGGGCAACCCTGCCTAACCCCACTGCTCGAATGGAACAATGGAGAGAGGTGGTTGTATGCCCTCACTCTGCCTGAGGTGTTTGTATATAGAGTTTATAAAATGTTAATAAACTTCTCAGACACACCCTTCTTCAATAGACAATCCCAGAGAACAGTCCTATCCAACGAATCGAAGGCACCCTGATGTCAAGAAACACTACGATTGTTGGCCTTTGAAAAGTATGGCGGTGTTCTAACATTTGGCGGAGGGTGAAGATATGATCAATACATCCTCGATCAGAACGAAACCCAGCCTGCTCCTCGCGAGTCAATCTTTCTCGGGTTTTGAACAACCTACAAAGTATGACGGAAGCCAATAGCTTGGACGCAATCGGAAGTAGACTTATCCCCCGATAGTTGTTACAGGAACGACGTGAACCCTTTTTAGAGATAGGGACAACTATCGACTCATTCCATGACGTTGGTACACTCTCTAGTTCCCAAACCTTTGTAAACAACGTCGTCAATTCCTTAGTCAAAAAGTCACCACCATCTTTAAAAAGAGCCGGTGGTAAGTCATCTGGGCCAGGTGATTTGTAACGCTTCAAGAGTTGGAGTTCCTTGCGGACTTCCTCCTCGTTTGGTGGATCAGTCGTCACCGGCCATGGAGGGCAGGACAGTCTGACCGATGTTGCCGGAGCAGCAGGCCAGTTGAACTGCCCTTCGAAAAATTCTGCCCATCGTCCAAGACGTCGATGGATGTTAGTGATTGGCATCCCATCATCCTCGCAGATTGCTTAGCTCACACCAGACTTCTTGCTGCCAGTGGCTCGGATGAGCTGGAAGAGCTTCCGGCAGTTACCAGATGCAGCTGCTGCTTCCAGCTCATTAGCACGCATCGACCACCAGGCTTCTCGGTCCTTACGCAAGCTTTGCCCAATTTCTTTACGTAACATCCTTCGTTTGTGGTCAAACTCACGGTCACCCGGAGTAGACCGACGGGCTTCAATGAGTTGTAAGGAACCAGAAGAAACCCAGTGCTTAAAAGCGGGACGTTTTCTGCTCACCTTTGTATGTTGTCACGGTCAATATCTCTGTAAAAATAAAGGAGTTCAAGGATTACAATCGAATCAAATCAGTCTGAATCTATGTGTGATACTTTCCCTGTCTTCATTTTAGTGTATACTAATATATATCTTTGGCTCACACTTACTGCTTACCAAACGACTTTGGTTATGATTCTAAGTCCTAGTTTGACTGTTATCAATGAACTTGTTAGATACTGCTTAAAACCTGTCAGTAATTCATTGTATGAACATGTACTTACTGTTAGTTAGCTTATTACGTATTCTAGCCTGTTTTTCTGTAATGAAATGGGCAGTATTGACCCCAAATACCCTGGTATGGCTGAGAGCGGGGTGGGCCCTCTCTCCCTCTCGAAATACTGTCACACGGCCACGCGTATACAGCATCTACCGGTGTAGTCCTACTCACTGCTTTCTCGTGGCGGGGGTTGTTTACAAAAATGAGAGGACGAAAAGCGAATGTCCGGCGCTTTAACCGGGTCCCAAACCAATGTTGCACATGGGCTCCAGTATCCTATGGGAACAAATGACGTATGAACCGACTTCTTGGTCACCGGCTACCATGGGACTGCATCTCCTCACGATGCACCACTGCCTTGTGAGTTAGACCTTTAGGTCAAAGGCTCGGGGTGTGCCCCCCTAAGAAAACCACCTGCTTTGGTCTGGGCACTCGGGCAGTATCACAGCCCACATACAAAATATGATGAACTGTCTATTTATGGAAAATATTCTTCTTGCTCCGAATAACAATCAAATGACTCACATTATTATTATTACTATTAATATTATTATTATTATTATTATTATTATTATTATTATTATTATTATTGCTATTATTATTTCCCACGTCATTTATTCACCCTCTATCCCCACTCTGTGTATACCTATTTTTCGACTTATACAGCAGCTCGCCTGTGGTGGAAATTCGGCTCTATCTAAACGTTCTCGAGTCACTGCCTGGTTGAAAATTGTATGCTACCACCGAATACGAGTACTGAAGCAGTTTTTCTGAAACCACGTGCGCCATTCAAACTGGCTGCCTTCAACGTTCGCAAACTTATGCAGGTCGGACAACAGATAGGGCTGGCTATGTCTTTGGAAAGTCTTAATATCGATGTTTGTTGTCTATCCGAGACCCGTATTCAAGACTAGTGAAGTACTACAAATTCGCCCTCCATCTGCCGCTTTAAAAAGCTTGTTTTACGTGCGCTTATCCGGGGACCCTGTGGCATCTTCGTCTGGTCTTGCTAGTGTTGGTGTCGCACTAAGCGCTAGAGCTGAGGCAGCACTAATCGATTGGATCCCCATTAACAGTCGGTTATGTGCTGTTAGATTAGAAATTTCCATCAAAGTGAGAAGAAATCGGCGTGAGAAACGATGTCTTTTCGTCATCTCCGCCTATGCCCCGACAGATTGCAGCCCGGATGCAATCAAGGATGAGTTTTACCACCAGTTATCAGTTCTCCAGAAAGTGCGTTCGACAGATATTGTAGTACTAGCCGGAAACTTGAGTGCTCAGGTCGGGCGTCTAGGCACAGAAGAGAGTCGTTTAGGTGGCCGATGGGGACTCGTTGGTCGCAGGACAGATAACGGGGACCGTCTACTGCAACTTTGCACAGACCGCAACCTGTTTCTGGCTAGCACTAACTTTCGGCACAGTCATCGCCGATGTACCACCTGGCGTCCTCCCTCTGCATCACAAGCCTGGACTCAGATTGATCACATCGCGATCAGCTACCGCTGGCGTGGTTGTGTACAAGACTGCCGCTCCTTCTGAAGTACCTATCTGGACTCTGACCATGCTTTGGTCTGCGATAATCTTACCTTACTTTTCAGTGGCCAACGAAGTGACCGCCATCAACGGATTGATATTAGCAAGCTGGTTGCAACTTCTGTTGCAAGTGAGTATCGAACCGAGCTAGCCTCTAGACTAGCTACCATTCCACTGAAAAGTATAGACGAGCATTGGTTGCAATTGCATGACGCCATGAAAATGGCGGGTACAGTCAGTTGTGGGTTCGCGAAACGTCCCGCTTTTAAGCACTGGGTTTCTTCTGGTTCCTTACAACTCATTGAAGCCCGTCGGTCTACTCCGGGTGACCGTGAGTTTGACCACAAACGAAGGATGTTACGTAAGGAAATTGGGCAAAGCTTGCGTAAGGACCGAGAAGCCTGATGGTCGGAGCGTGCTAATGAGCTGGAAGCAGCAGCTGCATCTGGTAATTACCGGAAGCTCTTCCAACTCATCCGAGCCACTGGCAGCAAGAAGTTTGGTGTGAGCTAAGCAATCTGCGAGGATGATGGGATGCCAATCACTAACATCCATCGACGTCTTGGACGATGGGCAGAATTTTTCGAAGGGCAGTTCAACTGGCCTGCTGCTCCGGCAACATCGGTCAGACTGTCCTGCCCTCCATGGCCGGTGACGACTGATCCACCAAACGAGGAGGAAGTCCGCAAGGAACTCCAACTCTTGAAGCGTTACAAATCACCTGGCCCAGATGACTTACCTCCGGCTCTTTTTAAAGATGGTGGTGACTTTTTGACTAAGGAATTGACGACGTTGTTTACAAAGGTGTGGGAGCTAGAGTGTACCAACGTTATGGAATGAGTCGATAGTTGTCCCTATCTTTAAAAAGGGTTCACGTCGTTCCTGTAACAACTATCGGGGGATAAGTCTACTTCCGATTGCGTCCAAGCTATTGGCTTCCGTCATACTTTGTAGGTTGTTCAAAACCCGAGAAAGATTGACTCGCGAGGAGCAGGCTGGGTTTCGTTCTGATCGAGGATGTATTGATCATATCTTCACCCTCCGCCAAATGTTAGAACACCGCCATACTTTTCAAAGGCCAACAATCGTAGTGTTTCTTGACATCAGGGTGCCTTCGATTCGTTGGATAGGACTGTTCTCTGGGATTGTCTATTGAAGAAGGGTGTGTCTGAGAAGTTTATTAACATTTTATAAACTCTATATACAAACACCTCAGGCAGAGTGAGGGCATACAACCACCTCTCTCCATTGTTCCATTCGAGCAGTGGGGTTAGGCAGGGTTGCCCAATCTCACCATTCCTCTTCAACTTTGCCATCGATGACATTCTGGAAACAGCCCTGATGAATGTAAGTAATGGTGGTGTGGATCTGTTGCCTGGAGAAAGATTTCTCGACCTTGAGTATGCGGATGATAATGTCTTACTGTGCGATAATGCCCAAGGTATGCAATCCGCACTTAATCAGTTGGCAATCAGTGTCCGTAGGTATGGTATGTGCTTTGCACCTTCGAAGTGCAAAGTGCTTCTACAAGACTGGCAGGATTCTAGTCCTGTACTCACCCTGGATGGTGAGCAGATAGACGTAGTTGAGAAGTTCGTGTATCTGGGTAGCTGTATAAGTGCTGGTGGGGGTGTGAGTGATGAGATCAATGCACGTATAGTGAAAGCCAGAGCGGCTTATGCCAATCTGGGCCATCTTTGGCTCCTTCGTGATGTTAGTCTGGCTGTAGAAGGTTGTATCTACAACGCGTCGGTGAGAGCAGTTTTGCTCTATGCTTGTGAAACCTGGCCTCTCCGAGTTGAGGACATTAGACGACTCTCTGTGTTCGATCATCGCTGTCTCCGAAGGGTTGCTGACATCCAGTGGCAACACCATGTCAGTAATGCAGACGTTCGGCATCGTGTGTTCGGGTGCAGAGGCGATAATTCGATTGGTGTTACCATCTTGAAACACCGACTTCGATGGCTTGGACATGTTCTCCGAATGTCGTCCCAGAGAATTCCACGTCGTGCATTATTTGCCGACTCTGGAACTGGTTGGAAGAAGCGGAGAGGTGGTCAGTGCATGACATGGTGTCGTGGTATGAGGGAAATCTGCAAAGGGCGTGCTTATGTTGGTCCTTCACGACTCCCTGGCTGGGGTCCGAGAGATGGTGCTACACAGTGGCTAGAGACGTTATCAGATATTCTTCTTTTACTTTCTTCATAAAAAGTGGTTGTATCTTCCTTAACTGAAAGATTTCTGATTGTACCTTTTAGTTTCCCCCATTATTATTATTATTATTATTATTATTATTATTATTATTATTATTATTATTATTATTATTATTATTATTATTATTATTATTATTATTATTATTATTATTACGCTACCTTACCTTATTTTGTTCGTTATTGTTCTTTATTATTTATTTTTATTATTTTCCTTACTCTCCTCACCTTTTTTCCTTCTCTTTGAATTCCCATTGTTTTGTGTGGCGCATATATATTTGGTGCCCTCTTGTACCAATGTTTATGTGTTTAAATAAAAAATAAAGTATTGACAAGCTCCAAATGTTTAACACCTGCAAACTTACGTGGTTGCTGAGCCCTGTTACAAAGCGATCAATTTGATATAATTGTGGCAGAGATGTGGTTATATTATAATTTGCTTACGGAGCCGACCTTCAAGCCTCAAACAAACAAATTTTAGACGGCAGAACTGCCCAATTAGCCTTAATGTAAAAGGAAACTGAAGCTATTGTTTACATACAAGCTACTGAATCAAGATAAGTTCTCATCATAAATGGATAATTAATTAGGGCTAGGGAATAGTGATCACAAAGAAACCAGTGTTTAGTAATTTTTGCCCATCATATCATGAGGTTGTCCATATTTCTCTTGTTTTAGCTTGTTTTTGCAATATGTTTCTTAGGAATTATTATCAAAAGTACCTGTGTCAAACCGTATAAATTCTCTATTAATTCTGTGTAATGACCTTACTTTTTGCTCTTTTCAGTGATTCAGATTGGTGGCTTGTACAGAACTTAAGTTCCGGTAGGAAAGGATATGTTCCAAGCTCGTTTGTTGCGAGAAAAGGATCAGTTGAAGCTGAAGAGTATGTTTCCGGTTGAACTGTTTTTCTTTTAAATTTCACTTGATTCGCTTATATGCAACTCAGTATATAACCTATGAAAAAAGGTAACAAAAATACTCACGTGGTTCAAAATTGAAGTCATAGATCAGTTTCATGATTTTGTAAAACTCATTCTCTTTTACTAATTAACCAGGAATCTCCAATTTTTTCTTAGGACTTCGTTGATCACTGAAACTACTATTGTGCTTTTATGCAAATCGGTATTTGCCAAGGACGTGCATAAAATTATACTGTTTCATTCGATAAAACTAATCACCTGATTTACTTTCCATCTAGAGGATAGTGCATTCACCTTTGATATTCCGTGATCAGTAATTTCACTAGGTGTGATCAATGATCTGAAGATAGTGAAATTCAGATATCAAAAATTCAGTGTCTTCGATTCATGATGATCATAGAGCAGGAATAAATATGGATCTGCAATTCTAATCTATAAGGCTTTGAATCAGTGGTGGGACTTATTGTTTGAATCATTTAGCTCTAAACTGTTCCAACAAGTACTTGTTAAATAAAGTATGTTGTTTCTAGATCCTTATCTACCTAAAGATAGGTTGTCTGTAAGTTTTTTTGCTCCAGACCCTACCTAGTTATCCTAATCATCGTACTCACGAATGCAAGGGGATATCAAAGTTGGGTGTTAATTTCCTCTCGCATGTCTAACTAAACAGTTTGTTATAAATTGTTTACTTTAGTAGTGGCCTTCATTATAAAAAATAACGGTCCGAAAAACCACTATAAACTTATCAGCAATTACTTATCTTAGTGTAGTTTGAGTCAAAGATGAATATTTACCAATATATATTTTACATATAGATGGTTTATGCCCAAGTTGTCACGTAAGGACTCCGAAAGACTACTACTACTGGAGGGCAATGCGCAAGGCGTGTTTTTAGTACGTGAAAGTGAAACCAGCCAAGGTAAGTCAACCATAAAATGTTATCTCATTAAATAAACATTTCATATATTATACCATGATTTTGAGTAACTTTCAGGAAGCTGTTCAGCAATAAATTTGTTTTTTCATAAGTCTTAAAACTACTCTAGGTATTTCGTTTAAGAATTATAGAACTTGTTAAGCATGTATTATAATATCAGTGCCTACAGTAATCGGCAGCTGTTCCAAATCTCATATTTTGTGGTCGTTGATAAGATTGTCGTAAATTACAATTTTCTTTAGCTTTTCTATTTTGTTTTTAAGCGGAAACTATATGGTTGAATTTCTGATGCAACAACCGGATTTGAGTGTAGATCTTGGTTTTTCACTGAATTTGAATTATTCGATCACTTGGTCACTGTCCTATCAACTAAGATACAATAGTTTACTGCTAATTTGTTTTTTGGTCCGTTATATTCTAAGCAACAGAAATACTCCAGCACTATTTTGTGTCAAAAGTTACTATATCTATAAAAGCAGTTGGTTGATTGATTTGTAATTTATGTAGTAGTTTCTCATGAGCCAAAGATTCACATCGATCTATTAATTTTGATATCATAGTTAAAACGTTATAACTTCAACTTGTGAGCCCCATATTTGTATCTCAATTCGCTATATTCAACAGGAAAATACGTGGCTTAAAGCCAAGCATATAAATGCATGGGGTCCTAGGGATTCCCCACTACTTATTTCGTAACCATGTCCACAACACCACAGGCTGAGGATTTGTTTGTTTTCTACTTGAGTTCGTTTATTTTAGGTACTTTAACTTTTGGAACTCCTCCCTCCTGTTCTGTCTACAGTTTTTCCACAATATGTATATCAGTTGGTACGAAGAAACTAGGTGTTCATATTTGTTGATGTGAAGTCTTATTTATTTATTTATTTGAACACAAATATTGGCAAAAAGATGCGCCGAATGCACATGCGCCACACAATTCACTTGTTTTGTGTGTGGGCTGTGATACTGCTCAGGTGCCCAAGCCGAAGTAGGTGGTCTTCTTAAGGAGTCACACCCGGAGCCTTTGACCTAAAGGCCTGATTCACAAGGCAGTGAAGCAACGTCAGGAGATGCAGTCTCATGGTAGCCAGTGACCAATAATTGGTTCGTACGCCATTTTTTCTTCAAGGATCGTGGAGCCCCTGTACACCATTGGTTTGGAATCAGGGTTTTACAACTCTATTAGGTGGTTTCTCGGTACCCATTAACCCAGTTAAGGAACCGGGCATTCGCTTTTCGTCCTCTCGATTTCGTAAACAAAAGTACTGCCGCGAGAAGGCAGTGTGTAGGACTTCCATGGCGGTGGCTGTACACACGTGGCCATGTGAGAGTATTTCGAGAGGGAGAGCGAACTCCCCGTTCTCAGCCGTACCAGGACATTTGGGGTCACGACGTAAAGTCACCTTGTCTGTGATCTCAACAGATCGTTAGACTAATGCACTGCAACCTGAAAGTAAAGACTTCGGTCTAGTCATTCTTTTGTTGCATTATACGGCTTTGTTGAAGTCTTCAACCAGCTTTTTAATGTGTCATACGATGGTGTATTCTTAGATTCTGTTTCACCATTAGCTAAGTTGGTGAAACATTTCCTGAAACATGTAAATGCTGTGTTGCTCAACAGTTCGACAGGAACCTTTACTATACCTATTTTATTGGTGGTATTGAGTTTACTTTTTATTGTGACTGTCGCACAACTAGCCGTTATCTGTACAACCAAGTTCTAATAAATCTATTAGTGCACAGTTAATGAGATAAAATATTTCCCAAATCTCGAAACTTGATACCACAGACACTTACCAGTTGTTCTTCAGTTTCGTTCGGACGCTTTCCATTTTGCATGTTTTATTGGTATCGACTGTAGTCAATCAAATAATTTCTGTTTTTTTAACTGCATATCATTATGAATTCAAAGAGTGTCTCAATTGAAAGGCTTACCATACTATTAATGTGAACAGTGACAAATTTTCACTATCGAGCTAAAGTCACTTCAAATCTTTGAGGACGTACTTTGAAACCAGATTTAAACTTTTGCATTATTTTCTAAAGTATGGCGTCTATGACTTTATTGACTGGATTTGGTTCATATATGATCTAGATAAGGACAATGGTGGGATAATTCCTATTCACCACAAAACTAACAAAGCATGAACGGTTTACTCTATTTTTTGTCCGTTTTCTGTATGGGTTGGCCTCCGAGAATTCACTTTACGCTTTATATGTTGGTCTGTAATCTTAATAGCTTAAGAGTAACTGCGACAAAATTCCTGCGATTTCTCTCATTTAGATAAACTATGTGTTTTCCTTTTAAACTCAATTTGATGATTCAATGATTTTTTTTCATAAATAAGATTATCTTACATACATTTCTTCTCCTATATTAAAAGTGACTACTGAATTTGAATTATAACGAATAAATCTAGAACTCTATTATTATGAAAAGGCAAATACTTGCACTGTAATCACTTTCATTTATTTAATTTTATGGCCACTTGAAAAGATGTTTTACTATTGGTTTGAAAACAGTTTAGAGGAATATAAGAAATCAGTCAATAGGCTTAAAATATACAGTAGTGGTCCGAATGTGTTCGTTTCTCGTCTCAATTTGTGTTGCCTAAACATTCTGTTATAGGCGGGCTCATAGATATCATGTATGTAAAATGATAGATCATTAAGAATATCGGCACATTAGTCCTAGGTTCTAAATTGTTTAACTCTGTCATTCAGCTCATATGAACTTCCCACTACTAATAATTCTAATGATATTTATCCTTATGGATATTTCGAAGAGTTTCCAATTCTAGGTATGCACAGTTTATTTCTTGTGCGAAGTTTGGACTAATAGGAAGCAATATACAACTCACTTCTTATATTTGATTGTGATGAGATATATTTTGTAGGGACTTACTCATGTATATTTCTGAATTCACATATTTTTCTTATTGGATTCAACTGGTAAAAACAGGTTCAGTAGCTACATCCAAGTAATTTATGGAAACATCACGAATTGAAATGGTTCGTGGTTAAGATGAAATGAATTATTGGTAACACAAGCATTTTGTCACCGATATCTCAGAGTGCTATTCTCATACATTAAGAATTAGCAAATAAGAAATATAATTGATAGGTGGAAATTTGTTCATAAAGTTTTATACATGCTTACTATTCCCCTTAATTTTAAATATCTTAATCAAGTAGAATTTTATTTAAGAAAACTCTGTAGGCTAATAAATTTAAGTCATATAAATATCTCATGTTATTGATGTTAAGTCTTATTGAAATTGATCAAACTCACATCCTAACGGTTGAAAGCTTCAAGTTAGACATTTAAATTCATTAATCACTGAGTGAATAGGGATTCAATTGCTCATTTTTGTGACCTTATTAGTTTTTAAATTAGTTGTTGTTGTTTTCATTCGATCGATAAAGTAAATTTTAATTGTAATAAATATCTCCTAATTTTAGGTCAAATTATCAATTAATATCTCATTATTTACCGTTTCATATAATTTAAAACCATATTTCCATTGATTATCTACTCGGACAAGATCTAATTTTTATCTCTTTGTTATAATTCCCCGTATCACAATATTGATCATTTTTAAAAGGTAACTTCCCGTAATATTTTTCTTCTCAGGTTCCCTAACATTATCTGTACGAGATGAAGAACGTGGATTATCCGGTATTATGAATACAGTGAAACATTATCGTATCAAACATCCAGATTATCGCTATTATTATATTACAACCAAGTGTAGTTTTTCTAGTCTTCAAGAGTTAATACAATTTTACTCAATTGATTCACATGGTTTATGTTGTAAACTTACAAGGGCATGTCTATGTCCACCACCAATAACCTCAGATTTATCAGTTAAAACAAAAGATCATTGGGAAATATCTAAATCTTCAATTGTTTTGACTGAAAAACTTGGAGCTGGACAATTTGGTGAAGTGTGGAAAGGTATGCATATATATATATGTATAATGGTTTACATGATATTTTGTTAGGTTAGTTTATTTTAACGATTGTTTGCATCCACTTTTCTTTCTTCCAATTTGTGTATCTCACTGACACTAATAGATCTGTCAATACGTTTTTTCTCAATACTGTTTACCAACTTAACATACAGAAATTGTTTAGGAATATATAACAAAAATAGCCAAAAAAGAAAGCTTAAGTATATGTAATGATCAGTTTATAAGATTTTACTTAGTTGAACTGCATATAAGGATGGTTAGATGTCTCATTTGAACATTTATTAACTTTTTTTATACTTATTCTTTAAACTGTGTTTTATTTCCTATTTATTCTTATTCCAATACCATTCGTATCCATCTTAATTTCAAGAATTTTATTATTAATATTATTAATGGCTTTATTCAATATTATATTTTGGTACAATATAGAATTCTCAGCACAGGGTATTTCAACAAGTTACCTACGCAAAAAACAGTAACAAATACAAAAAAAAAGGTTTAAAAAACCCGAAAAACTGTACAACTTTTAAAATTAAAGACATGTTAATAATACAGGTTAACCCTAACAACCTGTTCGTCACCGAGTATATTTGCTAGGTAAGGTATTATAAAACTTTTATACTTTTGCTTACGTGCATGGATTTTAATGTAATTACGTCTCGTTCTACCAGAAAATATACAAGGAGAAAGGTAAGAGTGAAGGGGATGGTTAGTATCTGATAAAATAACACCTGCCAGGAGTTTGCATGACTTTAGATGTCTATCCACAACCATATTAATTATAACCTCGAAAGATTCACCACACATCTTGCTAACTGCCTTCAGCACTCTCCGCAATACAGCAAAGTCTTTTCTCAAAAGCCCGGGAAAGAATAATGGAGAACAGTAAAGAATAATAGGTAATATGCAAGAATTGACAAATTGTAAGAGTAAATGACGAGTAATTACTATATTCTTTAATTATCAGATCACGAGTTTATTACCACTCTTTGTGTCCATTCGTCCACTGTTTTTGCTGAAGTATCAGTACGCTGGTTAGTTCATATTCATTGCTACAAACATTACAGTACACGTAGATAGCACATTATTCACTAACCGAGATATATTTCTAAGTTTTTTTTATTTAAACACAAACATTGGTACAAAAAAGCACCAAATATGTATGCGCCACACTTCATCATTAAGTTTGTGTGGGGGCTGGGATACTTCCCGGGCGCCCAAACCCGCTGCAAATCGATGTTTAAGGTATTTGTGTGCTTGGTTTTACAACTTTACTCACCAACTCTATGTTTAAAGTTCCCCCTACCAAGTGATTATTTCATAAGTAGGTTAGTCACAGAAAAGCCATAATAAATTATTAATTTTTGTTAAAAAAAATAAGTGGATTTACTGGGAATGCATGGATTTTAGACGGGTAACGATCTTTTCTAGGTTGACTACTATGTGTTTTTAACTGTTAGTAGTTGAAGTAAGGTTTTTGGTCCAGAATTAGGTCATACCGACCATAACCCTAATCCTTCTTCAATCTTGGCACTAACGAATGTCGCCGCAAAATATCGCTCTACCTCATAATTCTGTGAACTCATTCACAATCATTTCATCCTCACATTCACAAGTAAATGTCTTTTCATCAGTCTTATGGGCTTGTAAGTGCTAAGTGGTGTTTCGTTCACTAATATTAACCATAAAACATGTCGGGTTGATATTTGCGCGATTACTTAAATGCCCCTTTCTTGATCCTGATAGATTTGGAAGTATATTTTAAGTCAAACCAAACCAGTTTTTACCCTCCATTTAACTTATGCTTTCATTTTATAGATGACAAACAGTAATTTTCTTTAAGATGTGTGTATTATTTTCTAACCTGGAAGAAAAAAACCAACTGTATTGATTTTTTTTATAATATAAACTAACATCGATATTTGTGTCTCATTTAATCACACCTGAATTACATCTGTATCTGTGTTGTGTGACCCTAATCTTTTCAGTTACTAGAGTTCTAGCTAACAGGTTGGTTGAAATAACTGCCTTTGTTGACTTATGTAAGTTAAAACTCAGTCTTAGGAGCCGTGTACTAATGATAATTCCCTGTTTTATAACACTGGTGAGTTGATCCATTGTTTTAGTGTCAAATGCCTTATTTGTTTCCAACTGTAATTTGAATGTTGATCACCTTGGAAAATGTGACACGTTAGTTATCTCACTCTTTGACCTTTGTAATTTTGCTTCACAAATCGAAGCATTTTTATATTGAACAAATCGATTTCTACATCAGAATAAATGGCACGGTTATCTACAGTATTTCTGTATTGAAACAAATTCGGATTATTTAGGGACCGTATAGGCGACTTCTTTCGTAGTTTTGAAGATTTTTCTCCATAATTTGAAGTGTATTAACACAGATGGAGATTATTCTAATCTCAGGTATCATAGGTATTGAGGTGAAGAGGATGTTCGTTCTCTGTGGTAACTGAATTTCCACAAAAAACTTCATATACGTTTCACACCTAGTTTAGTTTGAATTTATTAGGCAGAGAATTAGGAAAACAGTAATCTTTGGTTAAAATGTTATTGTGCTGACAATTTCCTTTATCCACAGATTATCAGTCCAGGTTCTAAGTAACCACTATATAAATACCTACGTAGTTCGATTTGGTAACCCAGCGCATGTTTATGTAATACCCTGTGGCTATGGTAAACAGTGGTTAACTACTCGTTGTATCCCAAAATTATACTAATATCACAACATTTCCTTTATTGATTTGATGTTCTTTAACTAGGTACATGGAATGGTACTACAGAAGTTGCTGTAAAAACTTTAAAACAAGGTACAATGACTAGAGAGGATTTTCTAAAAGAAGCTCGTATTATGCGTGCAGCTCAACACCCGAAATTAGTTCGATTATATGCTGTATGCACAGAAGATCCTATTTATATTGTTACTGAATTAATGTGTAATGGTAGTCTACTACAATATCTTCGTGATGGACCTGGAAAAAATTTACTGATTAATCAGTTGGTTGATATGATGGCTCAGGTAATGTTTTATATATTTCAAATCATTGTTTCTATTATATACTAATGAACAGTATAAGCAATTATTGGATTTATACGTAATATCTTACCATTTAATTCACTAAGAAAATTACATCTAGTAGGGTAGGTCATTCAAGTCATTTTAAACTGACTAGTTCACATGTATGTTAAAATGATACAATGAATCAAGTGTACAAATCATTCAGGAGTCAAAATTCAGTTCTTAAGATTCGATTTTATGATGTATATGAACTTAGATCTTATGAGACTATGAGTTATTGTTGTGTTTTTTTAATGCAAATACATCTGCCTGATAAATGATTAAATGTGTGAAATTTAAATAAAATAAAACTTTCTAATAACCATACAATTATAAAATATAATGCAGTGCAATAATAGATTACTATGCATATAAGGCGAACTCTATTCATCGCGTTTTGTGGACCTTGTTAAATTTTGTATTTTGCATGCACCACGGACTGACTAGATAGATTTTTTGCTAGAACAGGAATCAATATTTAGTGCATGTAATTTATAAATTAATGATACCGTTAATTATATCAGTTTAGTTGTAACAGTCAATCACTAAACTACTTATCCATTCTATCACAAACAAACCTCAGTGTACATATTCTATCCTCTCGGACTCTTCGGCAATAGGAAGTATTAATCCTGTAAACTTACAACTTCATTACGAAGGCATAATCCACGCATAACGTTGTTATATCCGGATCCCTTATTACTTGTACTTAAAGCGATAGAACACTATAATTATCAAGACGTGAAGTAGAAACACAAAAAACTACTGGTACAAATTGAGATTTATTCACACACCGACCACTCTAGTAGAAAATACACTCATTTATATATTGATTTGTATACCCACTCGATTGTTAATTAGAATTAAGTCACATATATGAAATCATAAGGAAATTGCACGTTGCAAGTTGCACGTCATGCTGACCATAGTTCACGTTAATTTGATACAGACAATATGTCATGTTGTAGCAACACCATAGAAAAATAAATCAGTGTTGAACTGATTGAAATATTACATTGAAAATAAAGCAAATATTATACTGGGTAAACATATTGAATTAAAAACTTATGACTACAGCTGCAAACACCGCCTGTCCAGATGGACGGTATTTGGGGATACTCAACTCATGTTCCTCAGTCAATCAATATTCACTACATTGTCAGTTGATGTACCATATTCACCCAGTACCTTGCGTCTAATCTGGTAATCACCTACTCCATTATCCCAATATTCAGGAAGAGCGCTTTGAATGTAAGTATAATTAAAATGTCGCAGTGTGCTCACAACCTTTACTACCTTAGTTAGTTTCACAGGCATAGAGTAATACAGTGAGGAATTCTGCACACTATACTCAGGAACTAGTTGGTAGACGGTTGTCTAACTTGCGTCACAAGTATCGAGAGTTGGCGTAAATCTATCTGGCTTTTCGAATGTGTGCTGAGATTTTATCAGACACCAATCCTCCAGTGCTGATGATTCCGTGTGTGGATCAATTTACTATGCATTTCTAATTACCTAATCTGTTTTCTGTTTTGTCTTTATTCTTTATCATAATAGATTGCTAATGGAATGGCTTATTTGGAAAAAGAGCACTATATTCATCGTGATTTAGCCGCACGTAATATTTTAGTTGGAGAAAATAATTGTGTTAAAGTAGCTGATTTTGGTTTGGCTCGTATGGTGGAAGATCACTACTCTACATATATGGCTCAGAAAAGTACAAAATTCCCAATTAAATGGACAGCACCAGAGGCTGCATTAATGGGTCGTTTTACAATAAAATCAGATGTCTGGTCATTTGGTATTGTTATTTATGAATTAATTACACTAGGCCAAGTTCCGTATCCATCAATGAATAACACAGAGACATTGCATCAAGTTAGTACTGGTTATCGTATGCCACGTCCAGTGAATTGTCCACAACCAATATATGATATGTTATTACGGATATGGGATAGCTGTCCAGAAAAACGTCCTACATTCTCAGTTCTATTTGAATTTTTTGAAGATTATTTTGTCACATCTGATACTAATTATAAACATGCTAATTCAGCATTAACTGGTTGTAGTGCTTCCATCACAACTGTTAATAATAATAATATTAGTCCACATCAACCAGCCAAATCAATACCACTTGACACAACAAGTTCATCTAGCACAACGTCGATCAATATCGACGGTACTCATTCCGCTATATCGAAATGTTGTAGTGGACGTCTATTATCAAGAGATAAATTACTGCGCCAATGTACTCATTAATTGAACAAGTATTTGATTGAATTCAGTTTTTAATTCTTGTTTGGTTGTGCAGTTTATTTCCATGTTATTGATTGATGGATCATTGAAACTATCTACCTGAATGTAATCAGATTATTATTCTTTTTTTTTGCTCATCTTTACTTTATTTTTTAAAAAAACAAAAGAAAAAATGGAAATTTATGTTTAATGTTGTTCAAATAATTACCGGATGAATTATTCCCCATTTTAATTTATTTAAATATAGTTGTATTATTCATTTATAATGCATTTAATAGAGATGATAATAAGAACAATTTCATTTCACATTAATAATAATAATGATGATGATGATTATTGTCAAAATCAAACATTGAGGCATTGAAATGTGAAATGTCTATTTAATTATTGAAATATCTATTGTGATTGTGATTAATTTTGCATTTTATTTAATTAACTAACATACTCGATGTATTGCATTTACAAATAATCTGTATTGTAAATATATCAATACAACCAACCGACAAGCATCGCCATAACTCAGGGTGTTTTAAACAAAGCATTTTGTGTTGTTTTTTCTCTCTCTCTCTCTCCCATTCATGATAAATTATTTTTTATTATCTCCACTTATCTTTAATGTATTTCTCTTCTCAATTGTATTCCTTCATTTACTTAATTTCATTCATATCTTCTATTTATGATTTGTAAATTTATATCATAATCTTAATTCCTATGGTGATTGTGTTGTGTATGTGGCTTTTCACCGACTTATTATGCAGTTCACTGATTCATTCCTTTTGTTTTATTAAAATTCTGCTCTTTTCTGAAATGTATTTCAAATTATATAATAATAATAATAATAATAATAATAAGAAGAAGAAGAAGAAGAAGGTGAAGAAGAACATTAGCTCATAAATTTCACGTAGTTGTTTGTATTCGTCATGTGTTGCGGATGACTTGTTCAAGCATTCTTGACTCTAACTTAATATATGATGGGTTATATTTTTAACATTGAGTTTAGTTTACTAATTTACTTGAATAATGAATGATCCAATCCAACTCATTAATTTACTTCTTTTCTACCCCTTCCCTCCAAAGAATAATTGTATATTTTCAAAATCGAAAGCATTCATTGCTTCCTTTACACCTTTGTTATTCTTTTATTTTGGATACAGGAATAACTGCAAGTGTATATATATACACATGTGTGTGAAAATTTCCTCTTTATCCTTTCGAATCAACTATATTATTATTATTATTATTGACTTATCTGTCCATCCTAGGCTAATAATTTTGTTCGTAACGATTCCAAGTTATTATAACTTGTCTATGTTTAATGGTTTTATTGTGATAATTGTTTTTTTGCTTTGCTGTTATAAGTAACATACGTTTAATTAATTAATCGGTTTGTAAGAATGAATTTCCCGATACGATATGTATGTGTGGTTTTGATATCAGTTTAATAAATCTCTGTCTGTATGACATTCATTTGAACAATTTTTTGTTTAGTTTTCATTAGTAAACCGGTTATCAGCGCTCTGCTTTGTGACCATAACTTGTTAAGTTAACTGAATTGGGCGTAGGGTGAACTCTCATAGTTGACATAAGAAAACCGTCATGTGTCACAGATCCATAAGTTAGAAAAAAGTTGGTTTATTTGATCCCATAGTAAAGCACCATCCTCACTGTAAAACCTGAACCTGGTGTTGACTGTAATTGTATTAGTACATTTTCATATCGTAAGTATCATAGTTGGAAGAATCCCTTCCCATCTACTTCGATTTACGTGGTCAAGTAGAATCACCAATGCTCACTTAAAAAGTATGACTCCGAACCGAGAATGTGCTTGGTAAGTTACATTCTCATTGTTGTTGTTTAGACAGAACAGCTGTTCAGCACTTTGTGGTCTTCAGGTGTTATTAGCTCCTAACGTAGATCGGACATGAAAATATCTGTTGTCTGTCAGTCGAATAAAGAAGTCTACCTTCTAATGCTTCAATAGAATAGATAACATCACACTAATAGTTTGTTCAAATATAAATTTCAGACTATCTTGTAATTACTTTAGGAAAGGGGATTGTGAAACGATAAAACTACCGTTCCATAAACTAGTTTATCTATCTTCCAAGTTTGGTTAAATTCCAAATGCATTGTTCCTAGTTTTAAAATTATAGGAACAGTTTGGAAACAAAAACCTAATTCCAGCTTTTATATAAGTGATTTATAGTATCAAAGTCACGTTAAAGCTATTTCAGGCTGTATGACACTATATCATTAGCTCCACCTGCCTTAAAACTAGATGTTTTCTTATTGATATGTTAAGAAATGTTATGTACGCTTCGTTTATCATTTGTACTACTACCACTACAATTTACATGACACGAAGTAAAAACACAATAGACTGCTGGTACAAATGGAGATTTATTCACATCAAAAACACGACACCGACCACTCGAGTCGAAAATACACTCATTTATATATTGATTTGTATACCCACTCGATTATTAATTAGAATGAAGTCACATATATGAAATCATAAGGAAATTGCACGTTGCAAGTTGCACGTCATGCTGACCATAGTTCACGTTAATTTGATACAGACAATATGTCATGTTGTAGCAACACCATAGAAAAATAAATCAGTGTTGAACTGAGTGAAATATTACATTGGAAATAAAGCAAATATTATACTGGGTAAACATTAGATTAATTTAAGAATGGAAGTAAGATTGAATATGAATTGCAATGAGTGTAAAATGTAATTTCGCTACTTTGTTCCCTTCACTTCAAACAGCGTCACTCAACTACTGACAGTTTACGGTCGATGGTATTCTCACTACATAAAATTACTACTCAGTACAATAACAGAAATGAGACTTCCATACTACCTGAAAATTTGAAAACATTCTACAAGACAGACTACCAGTCAAATCTGATTATTGTGTTAGCATCAATAAACGACTGATGTTTGATAGAACTAGATGCAAACTTATAACCCTACTTTTTGATGTCAAGTTTTTGTTCCATTGAGACACATGATTGTTCGCCAAAGGGTACAAGGCAAGAGAGGATAGATAGTCAATGCGACTGAAAATCTACGAAATAAGCGTTTGTGGATCTGTACCATTTTGATTGGCCAACTATAGTCTTCGGAAACAAATCTCAAAAGCTATATCTTGAATCACTACATTTCCTTACGTGAATCAGAATGACAATCAGTGACCTCACAGACTGTTATTTTATCTTGTTTTGGTTACCCACACACTCTGTAATATTTATTCCTTCTGCCTTCGTCACGTGCTTACTTGACATCCGTAACACGCGTCGTCTACTTCACTGGTCTAAAGACTTAGCATCTTCTGTATTTCTCAGTCCATAATTTCATTGTCCATCAGTGCTTTTAATGGATGAATTAGATCGGTACGAGGAATACTAAGCTACTTACAGCTCTTGGTTCGTGATATAATGTTTGATATTGTTAGGTTTGAAGAAATCACGATATCACCTAAAATGGACGAGCAGAACGAAAGTTAGCAACACAACAGCAAGTCAAGCTAAGCCATCCTACTAGGCCCCAGCCCTGCCAATTGGAGGGTGAAGACCAGATTCAACCGAGAGAAAAGTGAATTCCACAAGTATTCCTTAGCGCGAACAGACAAGCGCACAACTCATGCGTATATATACAGCACAAAAACGGCCTTGGAAATTGTCACATAATGGCGTACTAGAAGAGGAATAGAAACAATGAAATTTGAGGTTCTTGTAAGTGGGAATTACAAACTATGGTAAAAGTGGGCGTTTTCGGTGCATCAATTATGAATTCCAGTTTCCAAAATAAAATAACAATAATGAGATGTTTACTAAGTGATATCTGAGGATCTAGCATCTGAAACAGAATTCCAGGATGCTTACTTATAGTTTCCATGAGTGCACTTTAAGTATGTACTTACACTTGGCACTATATACTCAACTATTTGGCTACTCTCTCACACTTTAATCTGAAAAGCTTTTTAAAAAACGAAACAGGCCTAACTCAAAGTATATTATGGCATTTTATGATAATTAGAAGTGTTTGAATTATAGTGCTAACTAAGAATCCCAGAAATAACACAATTTGATCAAGAAGTACTAGATAACCACAAACGAATGTACTGTATTTGTAAATCGAAATCAAGCATTCAAGAAGTACAAAGGAATCATCAATTCATCCAAATACCACACATTTACAGACATATTTCAGTTCACATATATGTGTCTTTTTGCAGTCATTAACAAGTTACAGTTCACTTTCACCAGACATATCAGTTTCCTGTTTGTTGAGAGTTGTTATTTCATTGTTTTCAACACAGATTGAAAAATAAGTGGGTGAGGACAGACTTTTAGTCGAACTAATGACAAAGAACTGAACATTGTTGGTGCCCACTAATGTGGTACCACTTCCCATATACTTACATAATAAGTTATGTATATAATCTCTTCATAAGTTGTTAAAAATGGTCAGGCACTATAATTCAGTAATCAGTGTTAATTAGTTGTGATACTTTGACTATGAGACAATTACTAGATTAAATATTTGTTGGTAAGTTGAATTATGTCAACGTTTAGACAAATTGTGATTAGTTGTCAGTGTAAAACATAATTCATATCGTTGGTTTACTCCGTTCTCACTAATTTGTGTATCAGTTTAAGTTGCCACACCATATGAATGTAATGGAATGAAGTTATGAAAACAAATATCAGAGTATTAGAAGTGGTCAAAGTATCGGTGGTAGTAGAAAAGATAAAGTATGGATAATGTAATTTACGAAATCCGCGGAATAGAAAGTATAGGACAATTTTAAAACTCAAGATGGAAGAGAAGATAAAACGAATACATTCCCCCTACATTTACCAATACTTGATCATGCCCCCTAACGTCTGCAAGCACTGATAGTGGTTACTGAAAGCGAATTCAAACAGGTAGTCTTCAATTAACTACATAGCTTAGACCATTAGTTGGTGACTTCACGGACAGACGTCTCGTTTTAGTTCAACAAACATTAAACTCCTTTCAACTTATGGCTACAGCTGCAAACACCGCCTGTCCAGATGGACGGTATTTGGGGATACTCAACTCATGTTCCTCAGTCAATCAATATTCACTACATTGTCAGTTGATGTACCATATTCACCCAGTACCTTGCGTCTAATCTGGTAATCACCTACTCCATTATCCCAATATTCAGGAAGAGCGCTTTGAATGTAAGTATAATTAAAATGTCGCAGTGTGCTCACAACCTTTACTACCTTAGTTAGTTTCACAGGCATAGAGTAATACAGTGAGGAATTCTGCACACTATACTCAGGAACTAGTTGGTAGACGGTTGTCTAACTTGCGTCACAAGTATCGAGAGTTGGCGTAAATCTATCTGGCTTTTCGAATGTGTGCTGAGATTTTATCAGACACCAATCCTCCAGTGCTGATGATTCCGTGTGTGGATCAATTTACTATGCATTTCTAATTACCTAATCTGTTTTCTGTTTTGTCTTTATTCTTTATCATAATAGATTGCTAATGGAATGGCTTATTTGGAAAAAGAGCACTATATTCATCGTGATTTAGCTCGTATGGTGGAAGATCACTACTCTATTACTATACATACGGCTAACATAACCTGCACCACCAAATGAAGTAAACTTGTCCATAGCCGCAATTTATCCTTGACAATTTTTCTAATGAAATTCTAACCCTTTTGTTAATATATACAATCATATTCAATATTCAAAATCTCTCGATAATCTCTGATTTCTTTGTTAAATGATGAAACACCTTTCAGTTTCATAGGCTTTTCCAGTCAGTGTTTGAATAAAATTAATCATTTTTGATAATTTAGTAACATTCGTCTGTTTTACGATTACCAAATGTAAAAAAAAAGACGTTTTTATAAATACAACTGGATCGTTCAATAAGACAATAATGCCCAAAAGAAAATTTTCTTTGCTGAATTGTCTTCATTATTTTTAATAAGTCATTAAGTATGTTCCATTTATTCTCTTTACATTTATTTGCTACTGTTCATGATGGATAAATTAAGGTTTTGACTTTCACAGTTGGGAAGTTTTTATTATTTTTTTCACTGAACTTGACTAAAACAGAATCTTATTCTACGAAAAGAGAACATTTATCACAAAACTAAGGGTAGGACAATAAATCAGAGAAAACAAGTAAAATTGAATATTTTGAAATTCAAAAAAAAAGAAACTCATTGTCAAGATACTTAAATTACGTCTATATTTGTGTAGGTAAAAATGATTCTTCTATTTCCTGAAATCTGATTACATTTTTTAAAACGAGGAAAATAAGATACCGTGTTTGATAAGATCAATGATAGATGAATTGAGAAGAGTTCAATTTAAAACTGAAATGGTTCTATAGAAAACTAAAAAGATTTGCATATTATCACACTACAAAATTATTGCTATTCAAAAATAGAAGGCAGTGAGAAATACACCACCAACCTGGCTTTACACGAGTTCTATTACATACGTTCATGAGGGACAGGGGTGTTTATGGTAACAGTTGTATCTGTTAACGATACTTGTGTCGGTGATTTAATGGTATCAGTTGGTGGGTTCATAATGTCATTACTGCATTTACTACTTATTTTCGTGGTACTGAGGGGTTCAATTTCACAAGGATCATGAATAACAGGCTCATTCTGATGGTCAAAACATTTACGCTTGATTACTAAGCCTAAATATATTAGGCACAAAGGAATAGGTGTAAGTATAGCTACAGTAATTGGCATGATAGCACCTAATTCACCAATTGGTTTTGGCATTGTATACAATAAAACAAGTATTCCAACACCAATATTTTGTATACCAGTCTCTAAGGCCACTGTAATAACTAATTTACATGATTGTCGTAGAATTAATGTAAATAATGATGCTATACAAAAGCCAAGCCAAGGTAATAATGCACTTGTAAGAATAAGTAAAGGATATACACCTAATAGACGAGTTAAGGACCAGTTAATGTACACACCAATAGTTAAAAAGAATACTATGAATACATAAAATAATGGACGTGTTAACTTTGTGCATTTAACAGCCAATTTCGGTTTCCATATACGTAGACCTAAACCCATTAATGCGGGTATAGCTACTTGTAATAACTGGAAGACAATATTGACGTATGGAATTTTTATTTTGGTCACATCAATGAAGAATCGACCGTAGATGAATAGAAGAAAAGGCATCATGACTGTAGATAAAAAAAATGAAACAAGAAATGAATACAAAAATAACGGTTACCACGATTTATGACATTATTATACACAGTCCTGTGAAACAGTATAACAGAGATTAAAGATTATTAATTCATTTACAAAGGGAAACAGTTCTTTAGTATTGATTGATTCTTAATGGTATTTATGAAAACATTCTAACAGTATTGAAATTATTTAATATAGTTTCTTGTTAATTTATTGATTGCAATGTGTCCAATTTCGTGTGGATATAAAACAAATCAATCAAAGAACCAACACACCAGGAGTTGCTGCTCTTAACCTCCTCCATATCTCAAATACTTATTAATCAAATGTGTTCCCTTTTTTCAAGGATGCCAAATATTATAAAACTATGTTCCAGCGCGAGCACTGAGTCTGCATCCAACGGTGTTAATGTTTAACTTAAACCAATCCACGAAATCGCACAACTTTACACTATTGTCTTCAGTGAGCTGATATCTCACAACAGACCTTGTTAAACTCCACTGGTCACGGCTTCACACTAGAACTCCAGGAAACGCCTCTTGAAGTCAGTCACTAGTGAGCAGATGATTATTATCAGAAGCGTTCGAAACGGCTGTCCAGTACTTCCAGGTTTTCCATGATGGTCTAGCTTTAATTGACTCATGATTTCAACTATTGAAATTACTAAAATCTCCACAAAACCCCTTCTGATAAAACCAAATTATCCAAATAGAAATAATAAAAATATATTTTCAGTATAACAATGGGTAGAAACGTTGAATTTTAGGTGTCTCACGATTTCCTATGAGTTGCTGCCGAAGAAGTGACAAATACATTATTATTATTACTATTATTATTATTATTATTGTTATTACTATTATTATTATTGTTATTATTATTATTATTATTGTTATTATTATTATTATTATTATTATTATTATTATTATTATTATTATTATTATTATTATTATTATTATTATTATTATTATTATTATTATTATCGTAAACAATCTAACGACTATACAATGTTGGAGATGATCAAATTTCATTTTGACGATGATACAACTTATAAATGATAAGTTGACATGGCTATTTTTTAAATACTTAATAAGAAGTTGGTTAATTAGAATATAGAAGTTGTATGGTCTAAAATTTTGTCTACCTCTAGCGAATAACCAATATCTAAGGTTTATTATTTAACACTGGTGGTGATAACTTATTTTGTTTTCTAGGTAGATTTTAAATGTTCTTATTACGATAACAAACTTTTCAGAATTAACTCATTCACAGTAATGAATTGTTTTGTATAGAATATGAAGACAAATGTTTGATGTATTTGTCCTAACTAAATCTCTCACATCAATATACTTCACTTATATTCTTTGAAATATATTCAAAACTGAATTTCATCGTACAGTTGAAAGAATATTGGTATATTGATTGCTTAACGTATTCAATTCATTTTATAAACAAAAAGGTGGGTCATTTAACCAGGATTTTTTTTAGCAATCCCTTTATGTAATGCTAAAAAATGAATTACCATTCAACAATCTACTTCTGAGAAAATGTATAAAACTTTCCGTGTCCACCAGCCCGATTAAAGCGCAGGACATTCGCTTTACGTCCTTTCGATTTCGTAAACAAAAAACACCCCTGCTCCGAGAAGGCAGTGAGTAGAACTTCCCTAGTAGTGACTATGTGAGAACATTTCGAGAGGGTGAGCTGACTATCCCTACTCTCAACCGTACCAAGGCATTTAGGGGCAAATAAATACTTACACCATACTCTAATATCTTAATGGTTTCTATTAGTGGTAAATAAAAACTGGAATTTAGAAAAGTATATTCACTATTGATAAGTTAATTAAACATCTAAATGAAATACTGATCAAAGTATAATGAAATAATGAACATAAAAGAAATACTAAAACAAAATAAACAGATTTATAGACTATGAATTATAAAAGTTTCTCAACTAAACATAAATTCTGTCGGTTAATACACTACAAAATTAGTTTGTTTTGTTTTGTTTTGAACAGTAATAGATGTAACCCTATTATAAGTTAGTATACATTTTTTTAGTAAAGCTTCTTTATGACTGAATAGATTAAACAGTTCCAGACAAACTTGTTACTTATAATAAATGCAAAAAGTATATTACTAAATACTTACAAAAGATTCATATATGAAATAAATTTTATCAAACTGTTAGTAGATTGAACTTACAAAGAGCCGATAAACTACTAATGAATGTCATTAATATACTCAAGTTAATATCACCTCCGAGTAGAAGACACCAACCATTACTGGCACCACCACCTGGAGAACAAGCAATAGTAAGTAAACCAAAGCCAAAATCCGACCTAATTGGTATAATTTTTGCGATACCAAACGCAATCTAAAATACAGTTATATAAATAATCAATTTAGTTTTTAAGCAACGCATTATCTGAATATAAAATAGTTTTAATAAGGAAAATCTAATTTTCATAAATTCATCTGTTCAAGTAGGGACTTATCATGGAATTTCGAGAATATCATAAAACATCTACGTCGACAAATACTAAATAATAACTAACTACATAAAAATAAAAATCATGATATGAGTTATCAAATTTTATTTTCACTCAATAAATATAGGTACATTGAATGACTCCGATTCACAAGTTATATCACACTTATCTATCGATATACTCATAGTTAACGTTGAAGAATCCTTCTGAAAAACCAGGTTGTAAATTGATGTGTATAGTCTGAAAGTTCCTAATGTTAACAGATAATGTGTAGTTTCAAATGATATTTCCCGAAGGATTATCATTACACAGTGACATCATGGATCAAGTAAAGCTGTTTCATAATGATCACATAGATGAAATCCTATCCACTTCATACTACGTGATATTTACCTGAAAAATTCAGTGAATTTGTACGCATTAAATTAACTAATAATATAAACAAAGGGTATGCAATTTTATAAAAGTTCTATATAAGAAGGTAACAGTATTTCATAGATTGGCCGATTAAATCATGCTGAAAATTATTATTATTATATGTGTCGTAAAATTAATATTATCAGATATCAGGCAAAAGCACCATATTCTTGAGAAAAATACATCAATCACTCATACTATCTGAATGAATCCAATAAACCAGTTTCTCTAGCTTAAACTATACGTGACCACAATCGGTTATAGCAAGTATATAACATACTATTGTACATTTTATCGTTAGAAATATGCATATTCTATAATAAACTGAATTGTCTGCGATTAAGCATTTGTTTTAAATGCCTTATGTAGAACAAGTAAGTAGATGCTTAATTGTTTGCTTTTAGTATGAGAAGCACAAATGTAAATAACTGACAACGGAAAGAAATGATAAGCTATCATGAATGACAAAATGACAATAGAAATTACTAACACTAAATAGAATTAAGAACTATTAGATATTTAGCAGATTAGTTTAAACACTTAGCTCGAGTCACAACTCAGACCCAACCAAGTAGCATGGTTAAATCATACCCAATCGGTACTATTCAAATTTTAATATGAAAACAAATAATTAGTTACTGGGACGAAATTAATAAAGATAACCAATTATCTTAAAATGAACTTGGTTAGCTTTGCGCTTTAGCTCAAGTAGTCGAAGATATTTTGATGGTACAGATTTGATATGATACTACCAACATCATGTAGCAATACAATTATGGGATAAACAAAGGAATACTGAAATTTTCATCATGTCATCGAGTAACAGAATATACATCGAATTTTTAAAAAATCTTTTTTTTTGAAGATTAATTACATTATGATTTCCTATAGATGATATCGCACTATTCAATAAAACCACGTAGAGAATGTCAACAATTGATTACTTAGTTCCAAGTCTAAATCTTCTACTATTCATTTCAACTTCACTGAACACTAAGCATTGAATCATAGTTTGAAAGAGTAGTAGGCATGAAAATAGCTAAAATATACATCACTTATGGTATAAGTAAAACTAATATATTAGTAGATATCCCAATGAGTAGAAAAATTCGATTTTCTGATGTTTCGTGACTTAGTGTAAGCCACTTCTTCAGAGAATAAATAACCAAAACAAAATAAATCCAAGTTTAAATATTTTTGTTGTTCTGTTGTACTATTAAAACATGGATTTTGTTTTGGCTATTTATCGTCCGAAGAAGTGGCTTACACTAAGTCACGAAACGTCAGAAAATTTAATTTTCCTTCCACTCATTGAGTTATCTACAAGTATATCAGTTTTATTTGTAACAATCTACTCAATGCTCAATTTATTCGAAATTATCAAGTTAAACCTTGGTAATGATACCTATCACTTATGATAGGCTGTTTACTAATTCATTTAAATGTAAGGTTGATTTATCAGTTTTTCTAAGACGCTTCATTATGTTTAATAGATTTAATACTGATTTCAAATTATTAGGTGTTTATTATTAGCTGTCTACGCAAAATACTTCACATTCGTTGGTCAGACACTATCAGCAACAACCTACTATGGGAGAGAACAAACCAGTTCCTAGCGGAGGAAGAAGAGCTGGAAGTGGATAGGACACACATTGAGGAAATCACCCAACTGTATCACAACGCAAGCCCTAACACGGAACCCTCAAGGCCGAAGGAGGAGAGGAAGACCACAAAACACATTAAGCCGAGAAATGGAGACAGACATGAGAAGAATGAACAAAAATTGAATAGAACTAGAAAGGAAGGGCCAGGACAGAGTGGATTGGAGAATGCTGGTCGGCGTAAGTAAGTAAAGTAAATTATTAGGAGATTAGTTTGAACCCCTCATATTCAACTGATTTTGTACATTTTTCAGTACACAAAAGCACATTTCTTTTTTTGATTTGTCTCTGTTATTTTATTCGGCTCCACAAATGTTGTACCTAAACACCGACTTACACGAATACATATTAACTTATACGAAAGTTTAGTCTTACGCATATTTTCACTCTTATGTGATTCTTATGTGTACAGTAATCATTTACATGTTTGAAGAAAAAAACACGTTATATGTCGTGGTTTCTCATCACCACCATTACCAAGAATAACACAAGACATCCAGCTTCCTATCCTTTCCAAACTGAAACTGAAGTAATTTTAATAGTTGAGATCATGAGTCAGTTGAAGCTAGACCACCATAGAAAACCTGGAAGCACTAGACGGCTGTTTCGTCCTACTGTAGGACTCCTCAGTAGTGCGTATTCACGATCCTGCCTCGCGAGATTCGAAACAACGATCTATCGATCTCGCAAGCGAACGCATAACCTCTAGACCACTGAAGCAGCACCTAACGGTGTTAATGTCTAACTTCAACCAATCCACGAAATTGGGCGTCACATTACCACACTAACCACAAAACCCCTTCTGATACTGGGACTAAAGACTATAATACTTATTTGACTGAATATTCTCAACTTTTTTTAAAAATAGACAAACTACTTACCAATGGCATAAAAAAAAATTGACAAAAGAACCCAATTGATACAGAAATGGGTTTTTTGAAATGATGCAGGATCAAAGGAACTTCCAAATCACACCCCATTGTGAATGTGAATACAGTCACCATGATTATGACGATGATACGGAAAACTAGATGACCAATGCCTTTATCTGCAGTAACAATTACGGGAAAACCCATTGTGTTGTTTTTATTGTTGTCATCATTATAATCCTGGTTATTATATAAAGAGACATTGAGTCGATAGTCAATTACTAAACTGTCGAAATATTGCTTCCTGAGGGTCTCAGAATTATTGGCAAACCAAGGAGTAGGACTAATATATCCATGCTTTGGTTTCGCTTGACGAATCCAAAATACCAAATAGTCTAGTCCCACTAATTTTGGTAATATATAAACTGATATATTTGTACTCGCATTTAATGAAGGTGGTAACCAATACCACGATTGATTAACAAGCTCTGCGGATAACGTAAAATCCAAGTCATAGGATAAAGCTAAAGGCACATGACTGCTGTAGCTGATTAAGCATATAACAGGTTTGATCTGATAATTGTCTACAAACTCCAAGTCCTTTTTAGAAATACTGATTACCACATATATAGCATCTCCTTCATTATGGTAATCATAAATATACATTGAAGAGTTCGGATTTGTTTCATCATGTTTAAGCTGGTATCGTTCTCGTGAGCTTTTGGTTTCTTCAGCATACATCAAACCAAACAGTTGTGGAGGTGTATCTCTGACTGGAAAAGCATTCAATAATATTATGTTGGCATTAATCAAGAGACTAATGATTATAGACCAAGAAAGCATGAGCCAGAATTAACGGATAAACAACGTGACTTTATACCTGACACAACATAATATACTAGCATCACTTTATTCCTTTTCAATCAGCCAAACACATTGTTTCAAGGTCATATGATTACAAATCACGCCTCACACCTTTCTTAAAGTAGATTGGTTTAAATTGTGTGATAGACATATTGCCAAAACATGTATCGACTTATATCATTGGTCAATTTATCTGATCATGAAGATAACATATCGAATGATGATTAAAGATAACATTTTCATTGATTTGAACTTACATTAGATAAAATAAGAAGTATGCGATATGTTAGCGCAATACGTTTCGAACATTATTACATTGTTCTGAGAATATTCGTCTTCTTATTATACTATACAGATTTATCAAAAAGGACTAATTACATTAAATTTCATTGATTATAAGCATTTTCTACTTTAGGCTTATTACTTGAAATTATAAATAATAATGTCGGGACGTAATTCAATTGATTTGATTTGTTTCCTAATTCACAGGCTCACTTGATCACGTAGAAATAATGGAGAAAGTTTATTGTTCTGTACATTAACTTTGCCTATTTTTTGTTGTTGGTGTTATTCCTTCAAAACGAGATCTTTGATCTCTCCATACTTTACACTGATTCCACAAAAGTCTAATGTAGTGCCAAATAACCAGAATCCTAGATTTTCCTGTCAACTACCTACAACTACATAAAATCTCAATATAATGTGCTTGCATTGTTGAATTTCTGACTAGACAAGTGGTTAACAATATAATTTGGTTTTGGATAGCACAGTGGATACTTAAACTTCTTCAAAAATATTGATTGTCAGTGTCATGAACAGCATGAAAAATCAATACATTTACCTGATGCAGATCTCAATGATAGTTATACTGGTTCAGAATGATTAAAATGTACAACCGAAATGTCAGATTAAGTGTCACTAAAGTTGGTGAATACAGATGGTTCATCTAAAGGAATCTATTTCAAAGATGTAGTGTACATGCTCTCCATATTCATTAGAATATTAGCATACTATGGAAGCAAATACTATGGGAATTCATATCATATTATTGGTTCAGTAGTACTTCCAATAAATTATTTGATTGTTTGGTCAGAACTTGCTCCTCAAATAAGTCCGTCAGCATCAGTTAATGCCTTCAAATTTCGAAGCTCCGAAATGAAATACATGGATAAGATACTTTATAATATTTTCCTAATATCCCAAAAATACATATCTTTTATTATTGTACACCCAACTATGAATATGTTTCCACCTGGTTTATTCATTTTTCATGTTGGAAAACAATTTCTATGTAAGCATTTTGTTATTTTAGCCTAAGAACTGTCTCCATCAGCAGTGTAGTAACTAAAATATAAACTATTATATCTGGACAGTCACTGAGGTCAGACATATATCGACTTCGTTGGGGAGGGAAGGAAGTCTTACCGCTTTTACATATCAGTCGGGAACCATTGCAGTTCCTCAATACTGTAGCTCAAACTTGGAAATGGAACCACTACCACTCCTACGATACGAAGTAAAAACACAATAGACTGCTGGTACAAATGGAGATTTATTCACATCAAAAACACGACACCGACCACTCGAGTCGAAAATACACTCATTTATATATTGATTTGTATACCCACTCGATTATTAATTAGAATGAAGTCACATATATGAAATCATAAGGAAATTGCACGTTGCAAGTTGCACGTCATGCTGACCATAGTTCACGTTAATTTAATACAGACAATATGTCATGTTGTAGCAACACCATAGAAAAATAAATCAGTGTTGAACTGAGTGAAATATTACATTGGAAATAAAGCAAATATTATACTGGGTAAACATTAGATTAATTTAAGAATGGAAGTAAGATTGAATATGAATTGCAATGAGTGTAAAATGTAATTTCGCTACTTTGTTCCCTTCACTTCAAACAGCGTCACTCAACTACTGACAGTTTACGGTCGATGGTATTCTCACTACATAAAATTACTACTCAGTACAATAACAGAAATGAGACTTCCATACTACCTGAAAATTTGAAAACATTCTACAAGACAGACTACCAGTCAAATCTGATTATTGTGTTAGCATCAATAAACGACTGATGTTTGATAGAACTAGATGCAAACTTATAACCCTACTTTTTGATGTCAAGTTTTTGTTCCATTGAGACACATGATTGTTCGCCAAAGGGTACAAGGCAAGAGAGGATAGATAGTCAATGCGACTGAAAATCTACGAAATAAGCGTTTGTGGATCTGTACCATTTTGATTGGCCAACTATAGTCTTCGGAAACAAATCTCAAAAGCTATATCTTGAATCACTACATTTCCTTACGTGAATCAGAATGACAATCAGTGACCTCACAGACTGTTATTTTATCTTGTTTTGGTTACCCACACACTCTGTAATATTTATTCCTTCTGCCTTCGTCACGTGCTTACTTGACATCCGTAACACGCGTCGTCTACTTCACTGGTCTAAAGACTTAGCATCTTCTGTATTTCTCAGTCCATAATTTCATTGTCCATCAGTGCTTTTAATGGATGAATTAGATCGGTACGAGGAATACTAAGCTACTTACAGCTCTTGGTTCGTGATATAATGTTTGATATTGTTAGGTTTGAAGAAATCACGATATCACCTAAAACCGGTATTTCTGATAACTATCGGTAAATGCGTTATCTGATACAGAGATTATGAAATTACACCCTGATATATACCGAGCAATAGGAATTTCTGGGTATGACTGAAAGTTCTTTTTAGTGATTAATGAACAATTCAAAACCTCTGGATTCAAAATTATAGTGAGGTACCTTGAATTATTTTCGGTTTGGAAATTATGTTTCACACTAATCTGTCTACAGACTGTGTCACCGACTTCTGATTTCATGAGTGTCAGTATCAAACTAAGTGCTAGAAGCAAAGCAACAATTTTCGGCTGTATACACTTTGAGGCGATGCTATAATGAAAGGCTCAGTCAAAGTTTTAAATATATAGCGGGACAATATCTTGTTATCAACTGCATGTCCGCCATAAATGATAAAGAAGCCACTAGAATCAAGCCCATTCAACAGAAATTGTGTTTATAGATGGGAACTTTAATGCGTGGGCTAGGCTTCTCTGTAAAACTGACAGAAATTTGTATTATCAGTTGGAATTCGGTTATGGCAGATTGAATAATATCCAGATCGTAATTAAGTTCTGTCCGATACAAACTTACAGTTAAATTACTCTTGATCTTTTAGCTGGTCTCCTCCTTAATTGGTTGTAATATACATGTATTCTGAAAATAATAATTACAGAATTCACGCCAGTTTACAGGCATGATCAATTTGATATAAATAGTAACATTAAATTTAGAGAACAAACATGTGATAGAAGATAGTTTTAAGTATACTGGTTCAGTAAATGTTTCGGTAGTACATGTATTACAACGATCCAACGTATCAGCATGGAACTTTTAATTTTTCTTAAGTGGACAGCCTGTTGGTTTATGAACGGTGTAATTAAGGTCATTTTCTGTGCCAGATGGAATTCATGATGATTATCTACAACTGGAGAAATTAAAACGAAAACAGATAGCACGGAACAACAAAGCAGTAATTACTAAAATATGTCAATCAGGTCTACCAAAATGTACATGTAATGTGATACAGAGATATACTGTTGATGTTAGATATTATTAGAATTAGTTAAAGTTGCTAGGGACAGTGTTAACATAAAGTGACAACAGGTAGGTGGTTTTACTTCATAAATTCACTAATAATAATGGCTAAACATTTAAAGTTTCTATAATATCATTTGTGGAATGAGATACACTTACAGTTGCTAGAACATTCAGTGCATTTTCAGAGAAGCAATATGCATCAATGCAGTGAACAAATAATAGGAGCGATTTTATCGTACGGATAGATTGTGGTAGATTATTTCAGAGTTTAGAAAATTTACAGGTAAAGTAGTTCATATAGAGAGATGATTTAGAATAAGTTCGTTTCACCAGTGACAAGGAGTTACGGATGTCGTAACTAGAAGTTCCTGCATTGCTAAATTATAAAAATTAATCAAAATGCCTGACTTCCTATTGTTTTTTGACAATAATATAGAAAAAATTTTCACACCTACGAAGTCTGTCATTCTGTGCTAGAGGATCAACTATGATATGACGGGATAAATCGGCAGAGTATTTGCTTTGTCCTGTATATTGTTTTATTTAGTATAACATTAAGTTATTTAAGTTTGATGTTTATTCAAGATAGATTATTCTTATATCAAATTATATTTAGCATGATATGTAGTATGTGATTTTGTTATAACTCTGGGTATTGTTCATATACGTGATTTTATTCTAATTAATAATCAAAATACGTGTACCATTCAATATAATATCAGTGAGTGTATTTTCGATCAGAGTCATCGGTGTTATGTTTTCAAGGTGAATAAATTTCCACTTGTACCAGTCTTAGTGTTCTTAGTTCGCTTCGTAGTAATTACAGAGGTTCCCATTATCAAGTATAAGCAACAGTATTGAGGAATTGCATTGGTTCCTGACTGACATGTAAAAGCCGTAAGACTGCGCCCTTAACGAAGTAGTTAGTCGTATTTTTTTTCAAATATAAGTAATAAGCGACGTTAACACAACAAGCCAGTAGCAAAGTGATAGTTGTTATTAATAAACTATTATGAATGTTCATTTGAAACATTATTAACTGGAGCATTGAAGAAGCAACAGAGGTTACAACTATATTTGATAACTCATATTTAAATTAACAGCTATATTTGTGGTCACGTCAGGTGGAATTAATTGAATATTTTTGTCAAGTGGCCATAGCTGAAACTACTTAATATTTTATTCGATGGAAATTCTTAATAAAATTTGAAAATATAACATATTGTTACGCCAGTAATAATTAATATAACATTTTGCAATTTGATAGTTGAATTCATGAGTCATTTGAAGCTAGACCACCATAGAAAACCTGGGAGCAATAGACGACCGTTTCGTCCTACTGTGGGACTACTCAGCAGCGCGCATCCACGATCCTGCCCCTAGAGATTCGAACTCAAGACCT